AGATTGAACAATACTTCAAAAGCCCATTAAATTCATAGGCGTGCGAACGTCGTCAAGAAAACTGTGTCAAGAATATTCAAATCGTACTTAAATATCATTTCGACTACATTGTCGAAACGTCGAATCTATTTTATATAGGTAAAAGATTCACTCGGTTAGAGATCATTTACTATTTCATCTGTTCTTTACCATTTATGTAAATAAGTGGTGAAGATGGTAGACAATTGTTATTCAGTTAAGCGAATCGCAACTCCATTTTGTAATAAACATCTTAAAATAAAATGTAATCGGAATATTCCGTATAATTTATCATTCACAATTTCATAGCAAATACGGGATGATACAAAAATTCATGTTCAAAGTAGGTAATATTAATACGATAAAGGATAATTAATAAAATTATGGTCCCGTATAATATGTTCGTTCATTTAAAACAATTTCACGAACTTCAAAGCTGAGCTGAATACTTAAAACTGTTGGTGATAATTCGTTTATTGTCAATTATGTATTTTGCATTAAATTAATTACAAAGTACATTGACAGTCGGAAAGGGATAAAACCCGTGGAGAATGCAAATTTTCCGGACAAGTAAGAGTCATATTCGTTGCAATGAAATGTTAGGTTTATAGAAACGAAAACCACTTAGTTATTTGTATATCTCAATATTTGTAACAAAAAATAAGAACAGGATATTATCCTCCTCATTTGATTCGTTTAAATTAATATTCCGTGATCCAGGATCAAAATACTAAATAGACTGGGTAGTTACCTCCGCAGATATTTCCAATTTGGTACGGATTTTATTAAAAAGGGCCTTTTCGGCTTCTCACAAAGAAAACATGACGTAAACTATTACGATTCCCGGTATTAGGAGCTACACAATTTTGTCTAATATTATTTATTCCGCAAATTATAATTCAGCTAGGTATATTAAGGTTTTGTTAATGTTACGCTCCCGGATCTCTAAAAGCCTTGAGTCGAGTCGTTCAAATATACCTAAATAAAATATGTAATATGAAATATATAATATACCCCAGAGTTTTGTGGGTAACAGAGTACCGAGGATATGGTACATCAATAATTCACCTATGTTTTATGCGTTTCCCAAATAACATGTATAATTTACTCTATGCATGTGTAACTGTGAAACTTGACGGTTTGTTTGTTTGTGTTGAAGAATTTTTAATTAATTTCATAAATAGTTTTGACATAAAAATTAATGGATACAGGTGGAGAATAGTTATTTCTCTCCTGTAAGATGTGGGCAGAGAATTGTAACAGTTGTAATTAGTCGAGTAAAAAGATAGGGTTTTTTTTTAAAGAACGTAGTGTTTTAGTATATCATCCGTGAAAATGCTTTCATGAACATATCTCGTTACCCGTACTGTGAAGTTGAACAAAAGATTTGTATCGTCAATAACATGTAGCCGCAGGCGGCCGGCTTTCGAATGAAAATCAAAAAGTTTTCATAAAAAAGCGTTACTATCCAAAAAGCGACAAAAACTGAAACAGCGACCTTCATTTTCCAGAATGCTCGTGTTCTCTATGAGGCGGCTACCTACATTGAAAGTTTTGTAATTCTGGTGGGGTTGTGGTGTTTTTTTAAACATTTTTGTAAACTGAAACGCGCAAACTTCGTAATTAGTAAATCCCAGTTTAAAACAATAATGAAAGTGAGGCTTCATCTGCCCGAGTGGCGCTTCCTAAAACTAGAGCAGCGCGACTTTTTAATTGACATTTTTTCCTCTGTATAATACTTGTGATAAATTAGAACTTTAATTCAAAACTACATCACGGATGTAGGTTAAGTGATTAACAAGCTGTTTTGTTTCTGAACAAGTTGTTGCTACTAAAGCACAGTTTTACGACACATTTACTAACTCACTAATACCAAAAAAACTTTAGTGTCAAAACTAAAAGTACACATTAATGAATTGAAAAGCTAGTAACAATGTGTGCCTAGCCAATCGAATCTAAAGTCTAAGCCAATGATCCATAAAGTATGTACAACCATGCAAAATTATATTTCATCTGCTACATGTGATGTGCTGAACATACAAAATGGTCAGTTCCGAGGCGCGGTGCGGGCGCGCGGCCACCAGGTGTCATGCATCGCTAAGTGAGGAGGTTTCCATTATCGCATTCGCCACTCGATGACCAAAATAGGCCACATACAAGTATTAATTTATACCCAAAGTGTTGATCAGTGGCAGCTTTTATTATAACATTCGATACAAACACCTGTTACCTACATACCATATAAAACAGTACGGAAGTGTACAGAGCCATGTACACAGAGACAGCTAAAGATTATGACTGCAATTAACTAAAGAAGAAATATGATAAACGAGATGACCATTTTGTTTTAAATAAAACAATAATATTTATAGACAGGGAAATGACAAATTGACGCAATAACATGCGTAGGTTCTGTCATCAAAGAAAACGGGGAGCATTCAGTGGACAGTAATAACGCTGAGGAACCCTCAAGGGGATTGGTGTAGCGGGTACGAAATTAAGTATAAGAAAACGTTGGAGACAAAATAGTAGGTGAATAAACAAACGTAGCTCAGAATACCGGCGCAGTGGACAAGCACACCGCCCGCCACGATTGAGACAACCTCCTGGGTAAAACCAGTTCGGGCGGACCACGTTAATTACACTCGCCGACGATTCCGAGCAGATGGCAACGCTACTCAATTTATATTGCATTACTCATCTTAACATTAATTTTATTGTATTCCTGCTCAACTTGAACCAAACTTAAATAAAACAGTTCCTTGTAAATTGCTTCTTAAAACAGTTGATACAAAATATCAATTCTGTAAGTACTCAATTTGTTTAAAATTAAAACTATAAGTTTCGGATGTAGAAAGTGTCACAGTACATTAGTTTAAATGATTTTCTAGCTAAATTCGGAGTTAACACGTAGGTACATGGTGAAAATGTCTAAAAACCGCTTACATTTTCTCATGACCTTATTCTTTCGCACGATGGTAAACATTAGTGAATGCAAAAGCTAAAGCGTACTGAAGTTGTATTCGCCTACGTCGAGTTTGAATATTCTCGTGAAGTTTTGCAAGCGAAATCTTTCGTTACGAGCCGAGTCTAATAGCAAGTATGTTCGTGCGAAATTGCAGAAACTACAATATAGGCTTTAAGAGCTCTACTATAAGAGTCATGTGAAAATCAGTGAAGAAAAAGCTTGGTCGAACGATATGAATATTCCGGCGGCGCGTCGCTACGTTGCCGCATCGCAACCCGTCACAATCTTCATTAGCATTCTGTCTCTCCCTTTTTGTCTCCCATTTCTCCTTTACAATTTTACCTGTTCTCTCTGAATTTTTCATGTGTGTTTTTGTTAGAACACCAAAGTGGATTACAAGACAAAATATCCTAATATAAATATTTGGGACTACTTTGACATACTGAATAGATAATATTGATATTTTTGCTCAAGTCTTTGATCAGATCGCGATTGGTTGATGGTTGCTGAACCGTTTCATGCATGTGGCTATAAATAATTATATTTCAACTTTCGTCATGTCAATTTTACAAGGAGACCTCTATAATACATTGTAATACTTTAAATGAGAAATCCTTATTTTTTAATATCTTATTAATTTTAGGAACTTTTAGTAACTCAAAGACAATGCCAGACTCATCATCCTTAAACATATTTAACAAAATTTACAATAACTTAAATATGCTTCATTGCATACAATGAATATTGTAGTCTAAATGCAATAAAATTTGTAAACATTTACTAAATATTTGGCCAACTAGCCTACGTCATATGGGCACGTTCTTATTAAGTAACCTTTAAGTTCAAGACAACTAACCATAGACAGACCCAAGCTTGTGACAACGAAGCGTAATTATTGGCTGTGTGTGCCACGTGCTTTAGAAATATGTATGATGGAACACTTATATTATCCAATTACAAATGCCACGCCCTTTAAAGAGTCATATGAGAAGCTCTGTTCTTCAACTACATCGCAATATTATGGCGAAGGCAAGGCAAGGCGGCGGCGATTGCTTACCATCAGGTGATCCGTGTGCTAGTTTACTGGCTTACCTCATAAAACATTTACAAAAAACAAATTACATTTAATTGTTTTTTTTTTCACAAAATTTATTGCAATATATAACCACTAAACCAACAAACTAAAATAATTCCGCTTTATCGCTATATTATGATCAAAATTAATGAATTATGCACTAAACTGACATCGTTTATGTGACTAAATAAATAATAATTAGGTAACTCAATTGAATTCCACGAGTCATAAACCAACAGAACTTGTACTAAATGTATGTATATTATACGTAACAATAATTGTCATATTTAATCCCAAAGTTTACCATGACAGTAATTAGTGGACCATTTAATTAAATATGTTTATAATTATTCACATACTGGCATCCACCCGCGACTTCCCTTTTCTGCCATTCCTGTAGGATTTTCAGGACTTTTTTCTATCATAAGAACCTTCTCTTGACGATAACAAACACAACAAATAAAAAGTCAGCCAAATTGGTCTTGCCGTTCTCAAGTTATGGCGTGACAACGGAAAACAGGTTTCATTTTTATATATAGATAGATGTACACCAGCATCACTTAATTATACATAACACCTTCAAAATTGTAGAAAATATAATATATTGGTACGTTAAAAAACTGTATCAAAAACTCGCTAACGACAACTAGTTAAATGGGGCAATATAGGAGCGAATACTTCAAAATTTACTATTCATTAAGCGCCATGAACAAGCTGCTTACCTGAATATTCGGAGAGATTAATTAAATTAATAATAAGATATCGAACATGTACCTAAGCAGGAGGCGAACAATATTTAGAGATAGTTACTTTACCAGTATTACTGAATAATTAATTATTTCATTTAATTATCTCCAATTAAATGTAAATTGGAGTGCTGTTTAAAATGTTACCTTACTACAATAACTATAGTTTACCATGTATTTTTTGTTGATGCAGGTCAAGGCTAAGCAGATCGCTGACATGAATCTTGAGAATGAAATCCTGGAACCATTTGAAAACCGACCTGGACCCCTCAAGCCTGAGCGTAACCACAAGTACCGCCATAATAAGATGGTTCATGCCCAGATTTCTCGGCTTGCTCATTCTCAAGACCAGATGGATGAATTCCAACAAAGTCTGCAAACACAGATCTTGGATGTTCAGCGGCGAATGGACCGGTTCGAGGAGCCCAATTGGAACCTCTTGTCAGCTAAAGTTGAATTTTTAGAATTAGAAACCAAGGTCCTGGACGATCACTTAAAAAACGTAACGCAGAAGGTTTCCGATTTTGACAAGGTCCATGCTTCGATCTTGGAGTTGCGCGAAGATGTCGAAAGCATCGAAAACAAAGCTGATAAAACTATTCCCGAATTTCGTAAGGAGATATCTAAATTGGATGTCAACTTTGCTCAGGTAACTATTATTACGGGTTATCTAGTACATTTACCTTATACTAATAAATGAAAACGAAACAATGTTAAAAAAACAAAGTAATCAATATCAATTAAAATATTACAGGCTTTAACCCATACAAAATGTTTATAAGTATAGAAGTAGCGATTGCTTTTTTGTTATTTCTTAAATCAAAATGTTATTAAACTAATCGGCTTTCAAAAAAAGAAAGTTTGCAGTTTCTTATATTTTAGCTTGTATTTATATACTTCTTTTTTGTTGATCTAGCTTAACGCGGCTTCGTCCTACTTTAAAGAAGACCAGGAAAATCTGAGGCAGTCAGTGAAGGCAATAGCAGTAAGCGTAAGCAACGCAATCGACAGGGCTGAGATGGACAGACTGGTTATGAAGAAAATCAACGAATCTGTGGAGGAACTCGAAGCGCGATCCCGGCAACACTTCTATCGGCTCAATGATCATATCTTGAAGGTAAGATACAAAATAATTTAAATTAAAAATTATTTAAGAAACTATATTGTAGTACGTTAAAACCCCCAGGTACCGGAATTAACTTAAAAAAACTTGTATATTTCGTAAGCCGAATTGCAAAGTTGAATAAAATATTATATTTATGATACCCATACAATATTATCAGCGAGAACACGTCCTACCATTTTTAGACTTTTGTATTTATACAAATGCAAAAGTCTAAAATTTTTACATTTTACCTGCAAATAAATGAGATCTATTTGTAGATACGATGCCATTACTACCCATTATAGATTTACTACCGTGATTAATTATTTACTGAAGTCTACAAATGGTTCGCTGATTGCATTATGTAGGACGTGACACATGACTTTATTAATTGGTAATTAAAATGTCTTGCTAGTTTTATTAACACCAAAATGTTTGAGAAAATATAAATTTATATTGAAATCTAATATTTACCTTTTTTGAAACAGAGCGAAGCCAACCATGACGTGAATCAAACTGAAAGCATTCCTCTGCCTGAACTGATGGGAGAAGTAAAAGAACTGCAACCTGTAGAGCGTGAATACGAAGATCTCGTCAACCAACTCCCAAGGGACTGCTCCAGCATCTCCGGGCCTGCCGGCGTTTACCTCATCCACCCTGGCCAAGCACCATTCGACACATGGTGTGTCAACGGGAGCACCCTGATTCAACGGCGCTACAATGGATCTGTGGAGTTCAACCGGAAGTTTTCTGAGTATGTACATGGCTTCGGCGACCCGGCTTCGGAGTACTGGTTGGGCCTGGAATCAATGCACCGGTTGACTGCTGATAACTGTTCGTCGATGCGTATTGACATGAGCGATATTTATGGAGGATTCTGGTATGCTGAATATGAACACTTCTATGTTGGTAGCGCTGACGCTGGATACACGCTGGAAGTAGGAGGATTCAAGGGAAATGCGAGTGATGCTTTTGATTACCAGAACCATATGGAATTTTCAGCAATTGACCGAGACCGCGATATCTCTAATACTCACTGCGCCGGAAATTATGAAGGAGGATGGTGGTTTTCGCATTGCCAGCACGTCAACATCAATGGAAAGTACACTCTCGGTCTGACATGGTTTGATTCCGTGCGCAACGAGTGGATAGCCGTAGCCACGAGCGAGATGCGCATGTCCCGCCGGCCTGGTTGCTCTTAAATAGATCAGCCATAAATTAGACTTCATAATCACGTAGTTAATTAATAACGATTCATATAATTATTAATAATATTCACTTTCAATTATGCCAAAGATAAAAAATAAGTATGGGTATTTTTATTTCATTAGATCGATTAGTTTCGTAGACAGTATTAATTTTTTTGACGTGCGTTTTCTTATTTCAACCTTTATTTTACCAACTTCAGTTTTGATACTTAGTTACATTCCATTTTGTACTTATCTGATTAGTTTTGGTGTATCAAGGTGTATTGAGTTTCGGGTGTGTAAGTACTTATAATTTAAATTGTCAGGTGAGCCATATTCTTAGAGCGTGGATCAATCTAACGCCACATACGGGTCTTTACTTGAATGTTGAGCAGTTGGACCCGGCAAACAATTGTGTGCGTAACTTGCCTTGGATTTACTTCTAGCTTGGATGCAGACAACTTATTGCTAAGTTTATTTATCTATATTTTCTTACTACTTGTTTTAAAGTTTGTAAATATAATTTTATTAGGCACGAGAAGCCATATTCTGTTTCACGTTCATGACAGACTTAGTCAAGGGAGTTGTAAATGGTATCTAATATAAGCAATTAGCTCGTAAGGATGATTAAATAAAAAGGCATGAAATGCTTTGACTTGAAGGACTTGTTTAAGAACATATAACAAGGGGATCGGGTGGTAACTATTTATTTATTACAATATAATTTGTCGATGAATTTTATTACATTTACGAGATTGTTTTACATTTCTCTGTTTTTGATAAAAGACTGTCTGCTGAAAGCGCGTTTTGCTTTCGACAATTAAATCATTATTGATGTAATTTATTTATATTTGATTGGTATTGGCATTTATAATATGATAAGCTAATAATAAAATATGTAATAGCGTACTTCAATATAATCCATAAAAAATAATAATGCATTTAATCCAAATACTCGTAGAATGTACTCGTGACTCATGTATGACGTAACATGTAGCGTCTTTATCCAAATTATCTCTTTATAATAGTAATAGTATGCGCCAAATGCGTAATTTAATTCCATGTACCGATCAATATTATACCAAATAAAGATGAAAAAATAATTATTGTTTTATTTCACTTCCAAATTTTATTTTCTACCTATTTATGTATCAACGAAAACCAGAGTCGTAAAATGACATTTTTGGTAGCGACGAATAGAAAACTGATCTCAAGCAACTTGAAATAAAAATTATAAAATAGATTATGCACAAAAAGTAGGTTCATTATTATATTCTATATCATGATCAAAACCAATGACGTTGAAAATAGGCGTCTACAGTCTCTTAAAACAACGACTGTGGCACCTGGCTACTATAGAGTTACACTTAGAACATAAACACTTTGACACGAAGGACATTAGGTACACACGCACATATAAAAAAAAAACAAAAACCACTGACAGTTTGGTACTTCAATCATTACTAAGTGATCCTGATCAAAGCAACTTTAACTATTTATACGAATACAGAGAGTACCTTTCATCTTCTGTTACATATATTTGTAAGAGTCTGATACCTGTTTTTACGAACCAATAAATATAGTAATACCAAACAGTACAAGTATAATATAGGGTTTGTTTAGATGCTACGTCGACCTAAGAAACCGTTAGTTATGTGATGGTTAAGGGCGATTGATGAGGAGACTCAACTTTTCAAGAAACATAATTATGTTTCTTTTAAAACTATAGCACCATGCTAAGATTTTATTCTAAATCGTTGATAAGTTTCATATGCATATCACTCTCCAACAACAATTTGTGTAACGCAAAGAATTGTTCGATGCCGAGATCAAAACTGCGCCACGTCAGTCTCAGTCACTGTATCGACGCTCCAGTCTAAGTTAATTCTGCAATGACTAGATATACCATAAGTTTTTGGATGCTAGGTTAGACAATGTTAGTCAGTTGTCACAAAACAACTGAACCAGAAACATACTACAGAATGGGAAAAAATAAAAAACTGATGTTAGGTGAAAATTATGAAAGCAATAATTAAAAACATAATAACTCGAAAACTACGCAAAATCGTAGAACATTCATGGGGGTGATTTGGATACTCCCCGGCCACCCTGTACATTGCCAACTCAAATTTAGAAATTTGTCCCGTATTTTGCAAACACAAACATCAATCGCATCCAAACCCAGACCAGAGTGCGATTTTGTAATACTCCAATACGATATATATATATAAGCTCGTATAAGCGAAAGAGCTCATATTGAAAGGTTTTCCTTGAATTTCAACTGAATATGGAATATCGAACTCCATATTCACAATTAGTACGAATTATTTAAGCAAAGTAAGACTCAAAATTTACTATGCGAGCGTCGATATCCAATTGGTGTGTTACCCACAGAATCGCACTGCTGCAATGCATATAGGAGAATCGCAGGATAACGTGAAGAAGTAGTAACGTGAAGAATCCCGGGGTTCTGTAGTACAGGTTGCACAAGTTAGTACATGTTGCCAAATGCCAGAGCAGATAAATAATTATCTGTTACATTATAACAGTTGAAGGGTATAAACCCTTCAACTGTTTGAATTCTTAATGGGGTGAAATCTTACAAAAATTACATAGACTGATTCATGATCATTACCATCATAATATATCATCAGCCACAAGACGTTTACTGCTAATCACTCTCTATGACCTTCCATAATTGGGTACTTACCAACTATTCAAATTCAATACTTTTTTTTTAAATTAACTGTCAAAAACGACAGATTTCTATGAATTTTGTACTAGATTGTGTATTGTGACGAAACGTTTTTTTTTTTGGGTCAAACAGGGTACCTATTACTTAAAAAATTACTTGATAAATACTAAAATTAAGTTGTTCATAAAATCAATTGATGAAAGTGTGATTATTTTTTAATGTTTTATTGTATTGAACAGTCGAAATAATATAGGTATTATTGATTAACTCGTCGAGTACCGGTTTTATAGACACAATTAAAGAACAATAGGTCGCGGTCACCGGTGACCGCTTGGTGTTTGACAGATTAAGGAAAGTACCCAATTCATTCTTGTACCAAATAATAAAACATTTACGTATTTAAGGATTTTTAGAAACCATTTAGTGAGTTATATTATTAATAGTTCTTCGTTTGATATTGTGACAAATCTTGGATGGATGGGAAATCTTAGGCTATGACTGCACGGCTGACGCAGTGGCTGGCGCGCAACGTGTCGCGGGTTCGATTCCCGCACGGAACAACTCTTTGTGTGCTCCACAGATTGTTGTTCCGAGTCTGGGTGTCATGTGTATGTGAAGTTGTATATAGGTAAACGCATCCACGACAACGACACAGGAGGACACAGTAGTGGGGAACCGTTTTAAAAAAAATAATAATAATATGAACATCAGTACCTAACATCGAAGTTGCCGTACATCAGATGCTATACTATTGAAAAATCTTATCAACATCGGTAGCATTGTTGAACATAACTTACCCTTCTCATTCAGGTATAAAACAATTAAATCCATGCCATCTACATAATATCCAACGACTGGCCGTACTGAAACGGTTGTATTAGTAGTGACGACAAACGATTTTTTTATAAATCTCAATTTATTACGTGAAGAATAGCCTACATTATCCCTTAGATGTGATGCAAGTCTATCACTAATCGGCCTAGCTTGCACAACTGGGTCACACGAAAAGCGTTGAGACCCATTACCTATACAAATAAATAAAATTGGAGTGTGTGTTTGTAATATTAAAATAATCACTTTTACTACATTTATATGAATACACATAAATTTTTTTTAAGGGGGAAAATCATCGAATGACTTCTCCCGCCTACGTGAGGCGGAAGGGAGTGTCAGACTCTTGTCAGACAGACTAAAAACCACCCCGTTCCTACTCCTGCACTTCGAGCCGGAGCCCCGGTAACCAGTTAGGTTTTCCGCGGCAATATACATACAATAGACATACTAATTACCCTCTCTATTTCCATAACCTGGGTGTCTTCAATACCCGATTGAATAGATTGCTTATGGGACGACGTGCTCCATATACCGCATCATCGCTTATCACCAGGCGAGATAGTGGTCAAACGTCAGCCCATCAAAAGTAAAAAAAACTATCTGTTTGTATTGGCTAATCTCTGGAATGGCTGGATTAATTTTGCAAGACTTTTATTGGCAGGTAGCTGATGTACTAAGAAGGAACATAGGCTACTTTTATTTCGGTAAAAAAAAGTTGGATTCTGAAATTCATAATCTACGCGCACGAAGTCGCGAGCAATAGCTAGTTCGAAAATATATTTGCGCTATTTTTCATCATAAAATATGTTATTGAAAAAAATCGAATAACTAGAGTAGATGACTAATTTTTAGTTTAACGTCCGGTCTGGTAGATTGTTTAAAAACATAAGACACGTAATTTTTCCTTTTTTACTGAAACGAATAGTTTCGAAGATATATTGATTCGAAATGTCATGTGACGTCACTTCTATGAACATTTTATACGTAGAAATGACGTTTTAGCCCCCACTCCTAAATTTTGATTCGTTATATCTATGTATAATTTTATTATACAACAAAATAAAACGTGTCTAATATTGTTTCGGACTAATTACATTTTTAATTTTCATACCCTGTCATCATCCCTATTAATATCATGATCGAAAATTTCGTCTGTGATATATTTCAAGTATTGAATACCATTGGTGTTTTGTGTGTGAGTATTGTTAGACTAAATAGTATTTGATGGCCCTTCAACTATTGTGCATTTAATAATACAGCAGGCTGGATAATTTTCATGAAAATTCCAATGAAATGCATAATCACAGTTCCATAATTAAGGACGATTTAATCGTGCATTTGTACAAACGAGTTAGCAATGCACTCTATTTAGAGTGGTAAATAAATTCCTTCTGTTGAAAAGGTACTCATAATTAATAACAACTCAAAACAGTGTTTACCATTTAAGTATTTAAATTATTACTTGCCAAATATATTTTGAGGTGTC